ACACCCACAACCCTGTTAACGAGATTGCTTCTCACATTCTAGTTCGCTACGGTCGCCTCCTTCAGAAGTTCCAGCTTCAACTAGATGATGAAATAAGGTCCTACCCCTAGTCTATGCCGTGCCTAAGTTTCACAACATCCCCTGTAGCTTCGGTTTTATCGCCTCCGCGGTACGTTCAAGCATCAAGCACTTAAGCGTTCTTTTTCATCGCGTATTGCAGTTTTTCCGCCGACATCTCCGTAACTACACTTCAGTGCGACAGCGCAAATTGCGCAAACGCCTCTATTATAGCGTCCGAAACTCTTGTGGTGTCATCACATTCGTTAACAGTTGTGGCCTCATCCAAAATTTTCATACGGCAGATTTCTCAACTTTGTTTACAAAACTGCCTCAACACGTTATTTATGACGCAATCGGTTATCTGTTCTCCTTATGCTTTCGCAACGCTCACGCCGACGCTCTGCATATCACCACCAAGGCCATTCGTTACGTTAGCCACGCAAGAGCTTTTGGTTACGGTACAGTCTACTCTTTCGCGGGAATCGGCAGTGTACTGCGCTCGGTCGTCGGCGAAGCTTACGTGTGTTTCAGCGGCTACATCTTTCGACAGGTTAAGGGCATCCCTATGGAGAGTAACGCAAGTTCTGATATCGCCGATCTCGCCCTTTCGGTGCCCGAATTTAAGTTCAGCCGAATCCCCAGCAACCCTCCAGTCCTTTTTTGTCGATACGCCGACGACCTGCTTATGCTCATTCGGATCCTCACCCGCCTCTGTTGCAGATATACGGCCAGCACCTGGGCATTGAAATCACTGGTTCCGGTAGTTCTTTTGACTACTTAGATATGACCCTTTCCATAGATGAAGAAGGCCGCATAGGATCCACTCTTTATTGTAAAAGTCACCACTTTTCCCATTAATTGGTTTTGTTCCCTGCAAAGCAACGTGCACCCATCAGTCCACGACGAAACTATACATAGTCAACTAATATAGTCAACGCATTGAGTCCTCCGCTCAGGGATTCATATATTCGGCACAACGTCTGTTCCCCGACAATTCCGCTAAAGGTTTCTCTCCCGATCGTCTTCAACGGTTAGTCAGTGCCTTCATACACAAAAATCGACTGCATCTCGCTAAATATTTTCCTCCCATTGCACCGCATTGTCGCTGCCTGATATGCTGCCTACCCGCGTGACTTAGTGGTCTTCTTGGTTGTTAAATACGTCACGTCACGTTATCTACTCATCTTTCCCCTCGTGCCTCATATATCTTTTTCCTACTACAGATGTGGCTTTCACCAAGCGCAGCAAGCACGGCAGCGACGACAGCGTCAACGGCAAAACCTCCTCTATCGAGGTTTGCTACGATTCCTTTTTGAACTTTTACTCACGTCTTCGGCATCTTCTTCCATCTCTCCTTTCTCCCTTTCCACCAGTTTCCATCTTCTTCCCTTTTCTTCCTCCTTTTCCTGCTTATCCGGATATCTTTACTCTCTTCCCTTCTTCCTCCTCTTCTTTCTTCTTCCTTACGCACTGCGACCGCAATACTGACGAGGTCCAGTCGCAGTGTGGAGTTAAGACGTACATGACTTAATGGGCCGAAACGTCTTATCTCACTCTCACCATCAACCTTTATTACTTTCTTTTGCATTTGCGCATCCCACCATCTGCACTTCCAAGGTTGACCTGGAAGCTGCAATCTACTTATCCTAAAATTTCAGTTTCCTAACTTTTGCACTTTCCCACTTGTTAATTTAGGCACCAAGACTTTCACATGGCCATAACGTGAACTAGAAGATGAATTTGAGTTTCCGTGATCGCAAGCGACAAAAACTGAATTTGAGTTTGCGTGACCGCAAGCGAAAAAGGGAGTTCCCCAATAAAATTTCAGCTTTTTAGCTCCTCAGGTTCTCCAGTTGAAACTCCACTTAGAACAAACGCAGGGTCTCGACAGTATGCGATTTGTACAATTGTTGCAGCAGAAAACACATAAAAAACAAGAAACACTGACGTGTCAAAAATCGCCGCGATGAGCGTAGTACGTACCAGAACATAATCAGAATGATGGTGTAAAACGAAGTAACTTCGGCCTGTGACATACTGCGTGTACGATGGAACGAAATTGAGGAACGAGCCATCGAGATAAGAGTGACCAAAATAGTACACCTGCAGGAAGTCATAGCTGAAACATAATTCGACACTCATTTAACGCACTAAATATTTGTGCCAATTACAAATCAATAGCGTTGCGTGAACGTTTAATATGCCTGCAGAAAGGGCAAACGCGAAGCAAAAACTCATTTTA